ATACAAGGCCGATTATCGATACCAGCCATTCGTAGGAAAATTCTCCAACTTCAAGGCGAGTGGTTGCTCAGCTTTTGCTCCGGCGAGGTGCCGCCACGTCTCGGCCTCGCCGTACCGCTCAAACGGGCTTACCGGGCAGCAATCTAGTGCTATGCAGTGGGTGCAAAGTCATTACTTGGCGTATGATTACTGTAGGGACGGTAAAAGGGACCATTCTCTTACACCAGAATGCTGGCATTAATTCGAGAAATTGGTTCTTTTTTTTATTTTGCTTTTTTTTTTTTAAATCAAGAATTGAATATTAATATTTGTTTAAATTAGTGTGTGTTTTGTTGTGATTTGTGATTTGTCACTCTTGTCAAAAAACAGAGTACAAGAGTGGCAGTTGAGCATCCAGTCCCACCAAAAATAAACAAGTTGTATTTTATTTCTTGTTTGGATTGTCTATATATTTTAGTTTGAGATTGTCTATATATTTTAGTAATATTATTAATATATATATTATATAATTTTTATTTTACAAAAAGAAAAAAATGCAGCCATAATAATTTGTGTCGGTTTATGTTTGGTAGTACACGAATGGGATTCAATGATGAAATGTCAAATTTTCACATTCAGTTGGGCCATTTGATTTAGTTTATTAATTATCTAATTTTGCATTATATATCATAAATATATATAAATATATATTAGTAATAAAAAAACATGCAGTCAACTATATAGATACACTCTCGTTCTCGGATAATATTTTTACGGGAATGGAAACAGAGAAAATTTGCAGAAACAAATTAGGTATGGTCAACTGGGCCTGCACAAGTCCAAATCTCTTGCATTATTACATATTAGCCCATATTCTTGTTTTAACATGCTAATGTCTCATTATTTACTTTGTTTTCTTACACTTTATTTTTTTTCTTTTTCTATTTGATTATATACTGAATAAATCTCTCTCTGTCACATGAAGATATCCCATCACATTTTTTTAATTTCTTTTTTTGAAAATAAAATAAGCTAGAAATAAATTGATGCCATGTTGTAATGAAATTGAATTGTTAAGTCCATTTGTCGTTTAACTAAAATGGTTACCCCATTTAGTGCAGAGATATATGTTGCGTCTTGTAGATTTGATGTTGGGGAAACTACAGATAAATCCCTAATTCAAAAGTCAAAACACAGATCAGTCCCTAGGTAGTTTCCCCAAGCAATTCAGTCCCTACTCACGCGCCTAACATGCAGATCAGTCCCTAATAAAATGTGCAAATACTAAAATACCCTTTACTTTATATTAATTTTACATAACTTCTTTTCAACTTCCAACGCGCCGTTTGTATTACACGCTCTTTGCCAGTTTATACCCATTTTCAGACCAAGAAGAAACAGAGAAGAAACGAAGAACAAAGAAACGAAGAACAAAGAAACAACAAAGAACGAAGAAATTACGAAGCACGAATAATCAACAAAACGCAGAAAAATAATAAAGCGAAAGGAAAAATAAAAATAAACAAACCCATTTATAGACAATGGTGAAGCATGGTAAACAACAAGGTTTGATTTTTTTTTTTTTTTTCATTTTATTGG